GCTCCCTGTAATTATACTACCAATTCCTTCATACACACACACAAACACACACACACAGAGTCAGATGGACCTGTTGAACTCCCTAGTCTGGCCGTCCATAGCTACACTGTAATCATACCAATTCCTTAATACATGTGATTTCACCCCCTACAGAGTCAGATGGACCTGTTGAACTCCCTAGTCTGGCCGTCCATAGCCACACTGTAATCATACCAATTCCTTAATACACGTGATTTCACCCCCTACAGAGTCAGGTGGACCTGTTGAACTCCCTAGTCTGGCCGTCCATAGCCACACTGTAATCATACCAATTCCTTAATACACGTGATTTCACCCCCTACAGAGTCAGATGAACCTGTTGAACTGCCTAGTCTGGCCGTTCATAGTCACACTGTAATTAACCATAATTGATTATTATTTTTGTTGAAATGCATTTTTCAATGTTAGTCCTGGTGAAAATCTCTCTCAAGATGAAGTGGAAAAATGTCTTATTTATTTATTATTTATGAATTAAGCATAATTCTTTGTATTTTTGTTGTAAGCTTTTTTATATAATCATTTGAATTTTGTGAGAAGAAGTAGAAAAAAATCTTGTTTGAATACACAGGCAACTCATGACAGAATGCTGAATTTCACAGCTGAAAGTCATAAAGATATCTTCTTCTGTTACAGGTGGAGAAAGCCTGGGCTCTTCTGCAGTCTCGTCTTCCAGGAAACACCTGGGGTGCCATCTGGTGTCACATTGAATGACAATTCTAAACAAAACATTTGATGCAGAAGAAAGAAAAGTGACTCAAGATAATCATACAAGGAAAGAAGCCAGATGGCTTAGAATAAGAACTGGAATTAATATCCCCTTACGGCAGAGTGACCCAATGTATTTTAACATACTGCAGCTTACATGTACATTTCAAAGATAGGTGGCAGCAGGAGAAACTATACTAGTAGTATACTAGTAAATGATAGCAATGACTCTCTAAAAGTTGGCAAGACAGTGAATTGAAATATAATTTATTAAAATATCTCCATGTGCTGTCATTGATTAGCATATTACCAGTCCATTTTCCTTGATTTTACCATGTCTCCTATTTTGGTAAAACCTGTACAAGATCATTTAGAAAGTATCAACACCAAGTACTTATAAAGGTCTCATCATTACAATTTGAAGTTAAAAAAAGCGTCATGAATTCAGTTCTGCAATCAGTTTCTCTTCAATTAAAGCACTGCCTGAACCCAAGTTTGATTTCCAGTCATTTTCCGGAGGCGAGGGCTTTCTTGCTGAATCTGGATTTATGCCTCTTTAAAACGAGTGTTCTGATTTGTCTACTTTTCTGTCCACTTTTTTCTCAGTATCTTTTCAGCTGCCTCTCAGCACTAACACTATCTCTTTTCATTACTGTCACCCCTGGTCTTTTCAAGGTCTCTTCTTTCTGGCTATAACTTGATTTTACCATGCCTCGTGATGCGAAACGTGCTCAGTTAGATGAGGGTATGTTCCTAGTAATAAATGGGTTAATCCCAGAAATAAGACCATTTGTGCTGCAAAGGGAACCCGCCGATTTCGACTCATTGATGCATCACGTCAGAATTGCACAAAATGCAGTCCAACATTCAAGAAGAAGTCGACAGTCCGACATCAAAATGATTACAGAAAACAAAACGACACTCTAAAAAATTCCATCAGTCCTGGCCAGTAAGAAGACTGCAGTACAAATGTTACAGAACCCGAGACAGGTCCTGAATGTTGGAAACATCACGCCTACGATGGCAAGATCATTGATTTCCATATGGTTTGATGCCAATGGCATCGCGCACAGGTGCATCATCCAATGCAACTTACCGCCACGAAGGAGAATTAGAGTATAAATACTTATAAAATTGTAAGAAAAGAGGGTGGTTAATAAATGATTAAAGACTCCAGAATGTTGATGTAGTTACTATAGTAGATATCAAAAGGTTGCTTCCACAAATCAAGCCATTTGTGGTACAGAGGCAGCCCACCGACTTGGAACCCCTGGTGACCTTAGCAGAAATTTAGAGTAACTGTAAGTAGTATGGTTTGAACAGAGCGACTAGTTCTGAAAGTTTTAACAAAAAGTAAACCTATTGATTCAGACAGAAAAAAAAGTCAGCACCCAGTGTTAACTTTTGGTGTCAATGTCACATTGTCAGTGTAACAGTGAAGAGTGACAGTTATCAGGAAAATCTTGAACGTTCAGCGTATTTTGCTTCTTCTTCGCTGAGATCAATGACGATTAGAGACTCTGAGCAGACTCTGTCGTTCTCAGGTTTGTTTGTGTCGTCGTCATCGTCACTAATAATGATGGGAGACTCTGGACGGTTTGAGATGGATTTTTGTTTAACGATGAATGGCCCTTCAAAGTCGAAGATTTGTCGCAGTTTGGCCTCTTTCAAAAAATGATAGTGACCTTTGTTTGACAACTTGGTCAAATAAACTGCACTTGTGAACAACGGTCTGTTGGTGTGAACTTTCATGTAGTATTTCTTCTGACAAATGTTTTATGTGTCATGGGATGATTTTCTGCACCATGTGATTAAAGTGGGGGAGATTGCAAATATACCTTATGATCCCAAAAATAGAAGTCTTTTATTTTACTTCTTAGTTCTTAAGTAAAAAATATTAATTTACGTTTTTTAGACTGGGCAACATGATTGCAAGTTGACAGATAAAATGCAAGGGTGATTGCTAGACTACCTCCTGCAGGTGAAATTTTGCAGTACAGTCAATTTTAATCAGTTATGAGTACTAATATGTTGCTGTACATAACATTGTTAATATTAGTTTTATGGAGATAAATGAGATAATGACTTTGATAATTTTGAGTGTTAAAAATGTGTCGTTTAGAAAAGCAATGTTATCGATTTTCTAACTGATGAAATAAAGTCAAAATGTCAACACGTTTAAGATTTCTTGGCTACCTCAGCCAGTGCATCTAGTACACAGACACGTTCTCTGGACAAGGGTCTAGATTTACTCAGAGCTGCTGTGCTCGCCATTGCATTCTTTTGTCTCGCCAAACATGCTTTGTTAGCTCTGAAATGCTTGGCTCTCGCTTGCAGTCAAGTTAACTTTATCCTTCAGTTTCTGAAATTGGCCCGTAGGTGAAGTCTTCTCTTGCGTTCTCTGCATCACTTAAAAATGTGACTCCAGATGTCTCTTCTTCCATTTTTGCTAGCTTAATTTTTGCTCATCTGGGCATTAGCTACTTACACATCTCTTCCCGACCGGCGGTTCCAGCAGAGGGGAACTGCAAACCCACTCTTGCTCACCGTCACCAGACTGGTTTCCCAATGGGGCTGAGCAGGCAATAGAGGCCAGACTAATGAAGCTCCTTCTCGACTAGCAGCAGAGTAGATAGGGGGTTTGTCGCGGTCTCCTTCCCGTTTACGTTTGCCCCATCATAGTGTAGAAGCTGTGCACGTTATCTTTCGCCATCGCCGTCATAGCGATGTCCATTTTACAATAAACTTTTTTAAACCTATACTCCATGTGTTTCTAGATGCTCTCGCTCCAATGAAATTTTACATTAAAGCAACTGTCAGATTCACGCTTTGAACGCATGTTGACAAAATTAACTTATGGCAACAATCATGGGGGTATTCCTGGGGTTCCTTATTTTATCAAGCAAATCAGCGTTGCCGTCGTACCCCGTCAACACACTGTAGGTGTGACAGGAATGGAATTCCTCTAGGGACTGTTGTAGTCCACTTCCCATTACTTTGGATAGGTAACATTCGTCCTACCTGCATATGCTTATATCAATACTCCAACCAAAATTTATCTGTACTAATTAAATGGGATACCAGAGTTCCATTCCTGTCACATCAGCAACCCTCATTTACATGAAAAAATCGGGCACTTTCCTGAGTACTCCTGAAACATGTTTATATATGTGTAAAGCACTGTGCATTCAAAATAGTTGTCACGTTCTATATCGATTCCAATGTTACATACAGTTATTGAAATTAACATTACAATATATAGTGGCCATTCCAATTTTATTCTCCGAGGCACAAAATCTTGAACAGCAAAATACAACAGTTTACTCCAACCTCAAGCGACAGCATTCCAGTTTAGAACGATCGTGGGATGGATAATCGTGCAGCAAGTGATATGCAATTGTTTGTAACCGTCACCTGCGTCTGTCGTCGATGGCGCCATTGCCGTGTTCATTGATAACATGATAAGTCGAAAACCGTTTTACCTTTTGTGTTCAAATTTACGTAACTAATGAATGTTCATAAAATACAGGTCGAGTTTGAAAATCAGCATGATCAGGGTATTTCTCAAAATATTTTCTAACCCTTTCACCATATTTTATTTACTGTTTCCACTATACAAATAACATAAAAACCCTGTTATATTTTGCATTAAAACTAGTAAGGCTGATACACAGGTCTAATAAACGATGCCTTTTTGGTATATAAGTGGTTTCTCCGCACATTTAATTCTCAGGCATGTTAACAGTCTCATTAGTGAATTAATAAAATATGTTAACATATTATTTTGACGTTTTTGGCATCTTAACAATATTGTAAGGTGACTACATAAAATAATGGTAAACCTGTCGTTGTGTATTGTGTAATACAGTGTCAAAAGGGAAATAAACTAAAATCAAAACAGTTTGTCAGTTTCAATCATTCACTATGTTCAGAATCTCAGAATGGAGCAAATTTGACATTTAAATTATTCTATTGACTTTTTCCCATCTCAACAATATTGTTAGTTGATCAAATCATATTAACAGTAAATTGATTATTTTGGATTATGTATAAAAGTGTTGAAATTATAAATAAACTCATTTCAGTGAAGTATATATTATTTACATTTTGACTATTTTCAAGGAGTGACTTTAAAGGTTCATGGGCCTGAAGACCTAGTCACATTTGCTAAATATCCATGTTACCTGCAGTAAGTAGCCTGCTGTTACAGTATTGTGATATATATTTACGTCAGTTTACAGTGTGATCGGTATTTACTATAGATACTGGAATATCTTAACCCTGCCCTTTTCCTCTGCCACCACCAGCTGACCAGCTGGGTTGATGGCTAATGCTTTTGGATACTTCAACCGGTCATCCTTAGTGGCAATGTATCTGAGAAACTGTCCCTGTGGACTCAGTGCCACTATCCTGTGGTTACAGTAGTCAGCAATGAAGATTTGACCATGGCTGTCTGTGCACACTCCGCGTGGTACAAACAGCTCACCATCACCACTGCCTCGTGTGCCATACTTGTACAGCTGACCACCAGTAGGAGACAGCACTAGTACACAGTGTCCAGAACGGTCTGATATCACAATGCTATCATTCAAACTGTTCACTGTGATGTAGGTTGGGTATTCACACATACTGAGTGGAATAGCAGGGNGAATAGTGTTCAGGAGCTCTCCACTGTCTTCATGGAATGTGAAGATGGACTTCTTTCTACCGTCACAAACCATCACATTACCTTGTCTGTTCACTGTAATACCACATGGGGCCTCAAGTATACCACGACCCATGTAAGTCATCTGCTTACCTCTGGTGGAGTAGACTTTCACACATTTGTCTACCCTTGATGTAATGTAAAGGTGACCAGTTTGTGACACAGCTATATCATATGGATTGTTTAGTTTAAAGTCAAACTTGAATTCTCTATTATGTGTGAACAATATTGTTCTGGCATTCCATAGCCAAGAATTATATTGAACCACAACATATGTATATTGCTCATCAACGGCCAACCCATATATGAACGTTTCTCTGTCATCTCTCAACACAGCACTGACAGAATGCACACATTCTGTCTTCTCAAAGAAAACTGGAAGATCTGTTGCTGAACTTGAATTTGTTCTCAGTCCAGCCAATGGAAGCTGCCCTAATGGACGTTGTGAATCTTCTGTCACCTGTCCTAACATGGCTTCCAGTCCGACAGTAGATATCCTACCTGGTATGTAAGATATATGTGCCGGTGTGTCTGGAGTTGGAAGAGGTGTTTTCTCCATAACTGCCAGTCTTTCTATTAGAAGTTTTGCATGAGCCATGATATCAGAGTCAGTGCCATTAGTGATAAGTTCCTGGGCAAAGTCACAGGCACTGGACAAGGACGTATGGTGAAAGTCAAGTATATTACTGTTTGCCTCCTTCTGCTTTTTCCAGTTGTCGAAAGCAGAATTCACTTCTGATATCAATGTCTGTTCCCTCTGATCAATGCATTTGCGCATACTCTGAGCTTGTTTTTTTATGTTTTTGATAGTGAATGTCTTGGTGTGAGGGTCATCTGTTTTATTGGCTGTTTCCTTTGCCTCTTTAAATCTGTCCGTTGTTTTCATAATTCTCCCAAGAGCAGCTTTAATTTTATCTCTGTTGATTTTTGCAACTTGCATAACTGATGATATATGATGTCCACCATGTTCTTTTGCTGTACACTCACCACATATAACAGTATTATCATCTTCACAGTAATATTTTAATTCATTATCAGGATGTTTCTTACAACTGATGTTCATCTGTGCAATGACCTGTGTCACTGCTGCTACATTGGTCTGTTCCTCTTTTAATGTCTGTCCAACTTGCTGCTTGGTTATATCCTTGGTCTTACTAAAGTTGAAATTCTTTTTCAGTTGGTTAAGTCCACCAGCTGGAAACTGGACCTCTTCTCTACACATGGGACACAGAAATGTCTTATTTGGAGTCAGTGTGCGTGTAGCTTGGTCAGATATACAACCATAGCAAAATGTATGGTAGCAAGGCAGCACACGAGGATCCTCATACTCTCCCAGACAGATGCTACATGTCAAGGTATTATCCGTGTAAGCGGTTGCTAGTGCTTCTGCCATGTCTTACTGTCTCTACTTCAGTTTACAAAGGATGATTGAGCTGTTTTTGTTGTCTTTCATATTGAATAACTCAGTTTTCTCCCTACTTCCAAATGCTGCGTATTTGATCGACTTACTAGTACTGTGTTCATCCGTTCACTGACTCACTGTCATATTTATCACAACTGTTTTTAAAATGAAATATTCGCCCTCTTTCTCTCTTTCCCTTTTAGAACTGCCCAAAAGTGGGAAAAATAGAGCGTCTGTTTATCACTACAGTGACCTAATCATAGTGTATCTGAGGACAAAATGAGCTCCCAGTGAGTGTTGACTGGTGACACAGTTGTATTGTGTTTACTCTTAAGCACAAGCTATAGAAATATAGCCATGTATGCAGGTATTTCTGTCTCGCTTTGTGTGAAAAAAACCTCTCAGAGTTTAATATTGCCGGTGTATTCACATGTTTTATAGAGGGATATTTGGTTTCATCAGTATTATATGTATGCAGCTAATAATGATAAAGTCGACTCTCTCTCTCTCTGTTCCTCTACCTTATCAATAGAGGAGAAAAAGAATTACACTGCATATTGCAAGTATTATATATTATATATATATTCGAGAGAGAGAGAGAGAGAGAGAGAGAGAGAGAGAGAGAGAATTTGCTTTATCATTATTAGCTGCATACATATAATACTTGTGAAAGAAAAAACTAAAGTGGCCCAGTAAAGGTGACAGGGACTTCCATCATCGAGGGAAATGAAATAAGTTCTCTCAATTTATTTTCATATTTTTATACGTAGTCTATCATAGAATAGATTAGCATCTTTACACTTTGGAATAGAATCTAATCTCATCTTAAAGTGCCGAAGAAAATAAATTTAAACGCACACTATTCACATGCACTACTTCTCGTTGAAATTTTCTGATGACTTGTGAATCTTTGAAATATATTTTAAAAGAAAAATGTCATCAATGTTGTAAAAAAATAAAATTCCCTTCTGCTGAATTCCCTCACCACCACCCAACCAGCCGCATTCCGGATGTCCGTCTTTTTTTCTGTTATTCCGTGAAGTAACAGTGCTTAGCCGTCATATAAGATGCCAGCTGTTTGATTAGCGATAAACATACAAGAACTAGCACTCACTGTTTAAAAATGTGATTTCTGAGTGAGCTAATTGCATATCTGTTACTGTCACCCCACCCCACTGCACACACTCAATCACACATACAGGGTACACACTCTTTATTTAAAATCAGAAAGTTTAATAAAATGTATAAAATCCTAAAGGCAGAATAAATTGTCATTGTACCACCAGGGTATGCTAATGGTTTTATTCCCGGCCCTCATGTTCCGCTGACTCCGCTGGCTCCGCCGCCGTGTCACCATTACCACTTCTCTTCCTAGACTACAAGAACCTGCATACTCATCTCTTGGATTTAAAACAAATATAATCTCAACTCGATCCACGTAAATTTTGGGCTTTGTCGGTGCTGGGATCTAGGTGTGGAGCTTGTTGCAATGCACCCTTGTCCAAAATTTGCAAAATGAAATGCTAAATATCTCCCAAATCGAAAGAATTATGGGGAAAATTTCTTCAGATGGCTGATCAAACGTCATATGTGGAGATTTCAAATATGCCCTTGGATTTGATCTCTGACCTTTATTTCAAAGCCAAACAGGCCAAAATTTTCATACATGATAATTATTTTTTGCAAAAAAAAAAAAAAAAAAAAAAAAAAAATGCCGATTTTCAGAAACTACACAGACTTAACCTAAAATATTACGGGCAAGTGTTACCATTCAGGTCATCTTTGATATTCGTGAGTTTGGGGTCAATCAATGCAATTTTCATTGGAGTAGCGGCCATAAGATGCCGAAACTGAAAACTCTCTCAAGACCTCGTGTCGGTTGCATTTTGTAGAGAATGTCAAGGCCAATACTTGAAGTGGTGTCCGTTTTTTTTTTTTTTTTTCTTTATTTTATTTGCTTTACGTTTACTCTATCAAAAAATTCATTGTGGTGGTGAAAGTAAAATGTGCGATGTCGTAATATGCATAAAATTTCGAAAGTCTGGAAAAGATAACAAGGTTTAGTGAGGCAGACAACTTCTGGTCAAAATTGACATATTTCATGGAATTTGAACATCTGGAATTTCTAAGCATCTCCCGTTTCATGAATTTCAACCAAAGTGACCTTTTCTTTATTTCAATTAAGTTCGTCTGCACTAAATTTATGACACATAACTGTAACTCCAAAATTGCAATAATTTAGTCCCTTATATCTCCAAAACTGACAGAGATAAGGCCATAGGCGTTATTGAACTGAAATAGCATGTCATATACTGGCAATCTAAAAGTGACCTTGAAATCGACTTTCGGCCTTCTTTTCACTGTGAACTGAACTATCCAAAACTAGCAGAGATAGGGCCATAGTTACCATTGAAGTTGAACAGGAAGTCATATACTGCCAATCACACTGTGACCTTCAAATTGACTTTTGACCTACTATTCACCTTGAATTAAACTGCAACATCTTAGCCCCTTATATCTCCAAAACTGGCAAATATAGGGCCATAGTTACTGTGACGACGTTACTGAATTTGTCTTACTGGTGGCTGTCACATAGTGGTGCGTCATGCACATTGTGAAATATTATCCAATTAGAATAAAGTGCGGCTGTGTGCGGCAGTTGAGTAATTATTAACAGCGTGTTGACTGGTGCTCGCTCCTCCGCTCGTAACATTACATGGTGTCAGGATCGGGATGAATGACTTCAAGCCCCCACTAAAGTTCTCTTTTGATGGCGATGTTAGCCAAAATTGGAGGGAATGGAAACAAATGTTCCAACTTTTTCTGGTAGCCAAAGAAGCAGTGGAGAAAACAGACGCCACAAAAATCGCCACGGTGCATGGGACCGGAGGGAGTAAAACGTTTCAACAAGTTTAACTGGAACGAAGCAGGTGATAAAGAGAGTTACGAGAGAGTCTTAGATAAATTTGACACTGAACTGTGCGGTGAGAAGAGGATAGTTTTTAATAGATACAGCTTTTGGAACTTAAAGCGAGACTCTATGCCTTTGACGATTACCTGGTAAAGGTCAAGGCCATTGCGGCAAAGTGTGATTTTGCTGAGACCGACAACATGGTAAGGGACAAAATAGTGTTTACACAGGACAAAAGGCTGCAGGAAAGACTCTTAAGGGAGAAAAATTTAGACCTCGAGAAAACTATAGACATTTGCCGGGCGGCGGAGATCACAAAGCAGGAAGTTGACTCTATGTCTGGGCTCGCACGTGGTGCTGCGGTTGCAATTTCCAGTGTATCCATGCTACAGAAGGGTAAGAGACAACCCTCAACGAAGTTTTCTCAGAAGAAAGATAATCGACACACCAAGTTATGCACACGCTGTAAGAAAAACCATGGTCCAAATCTGCACACAGACTGCTCTGCATGGGGACGGACTAATACAAGTGTAAAGGTAACAACCACTTCAAAAGTTGTTGTAGAGCTACCGTAAAAGTCCATGAACTAAGTAATGACGATAACAGTGCAGTTCAACAATAGAGGTGAGTATAGGCAGTGTGTTCAGGAATGAAGATCAGCGTGTATGGTTTAAAAATGTAATGGTAGCTGACTCTCATATTGGAATGAAGATAGACACAGGTGCAGAAACCAGTTCAATACCCCAGAAAATATGGAGAAAGATAGCAGGTAGACCCGAACTAGAACAATCCCATACCATACTTAGAGCGTTTGGTGGTGCAGTGGAAGAGCACATTAGCAGGGCGAAAGTAGATATGAGCATGTCAAATGGACGTAAAACCATTGGAGAAGTATTTGTTACAAAACAAAAAACAGAGCCAGCGATGGGACTGCAAGCTTACATGGCTCTAGGTCTTGTTTCAGTGGAGAAACAAATGAATCTTGATTCAGTAACTGCATCAATTACACAAGATTCAATAGAAAAGGGATCTTATAAAAGTGCATTCACAGGCCTGGGGAAGTTCCCTGGACAGTATCACATCTCATTGAAGCAGGGTGCTAAGGGTCACATTGCTCCTACATACAGAGTTCCACAGAAGTTGATGGCCCCATTGAGAAATAAACTTGAAGAAATGGAGAGACAAAGAAATAATTATTGAGAAGGTGGACAACCCCACAGATTTTATTAGCAATATTGTCATAACAGAGAAGAAAGACGGTTTCATAAGGTTGTGCCTCAACCCCCAACATCTCAACAAAGAGATAACAAGAGAACATTTCAATATGCCAACATTCGAATCAGTAGCAGCGCAGATATGAGGAAATAAAGTATTCACTATCATCGATATCAAGGATTCCTACTACCAAGTGGAATTAGATGACTCCAGATCAGAACTTACTACTTTTTCCACACCTGTTGGACGCTATAAATTTAGACGAATGTCATTTGGAATTATGAGTGCTGCAGATATTTTGCAGAAAAAAATGTTAACCGTGTCTTTGGTGACATTAGAAATACATACGCTATAGCAGATGACATTCTGATAGCAACAGAGACAGTTGAGGAACACGATCTGATCCTGGAAGAAATTATCAAACGTGCCATGGAGAACAATGTTCGTTTTAATGCCAAGAAAACGCAGTTGAAACAAAACAGTGTATCATATTTTGGGATGATTGTTGGAGCACAAGGAATCCGACCAGACCCAGAAAAGATTCGCTCAATTCTGGAAATGCCACCCCACTGATACTGAGGCAGTGAAGCGTTTAACAGGAATGTTGAATTTCCTATCACCATTTATTCCAAATAGGTCTTCTACCATGAGTCCAATCAGCAGTTTGTTGAAAGCTGGAGTACCTTGGAATTGGGGACCAGAGCAGAAAGCTGCCATGCAACAAATAAAAGATGTACAGCTGTACTTTCAGAAGAACCAGTGCTGAAGTTGTTTGAGCCATCCAAGCCAGTGACAATACAAGCAGACGCGTCATCTACGGGATTAGGTGCATGTCTATTACAAGATGGTCAACATATTGCTTATG